TTAGAGTTTAGGGTTTGTAGGGTTAAGGTTTTAGGGTTTAGGGTTTGTAGGGTTAAGGGTTTAGGGTTTAGGGTTTAGTGTTCCATGCAGGAGCCTGAGGAATTTCCAACATCAGCCAACCCTTTCATAACTAGAGTTCAACTTGAGCAGAACTCCTCCCCCAAAACCCTTACACTTGTTAATGGGCCTCTACATTAGGTGGACCCCTCGCCCAGTAATAGTGACTATGAGGGATAATAGGGATTGTATTCGGGTCCTTTTATAAAATTTATATTCTTATTATACGACTATTACAGCGTGGGGGTCCTCCTAACCTCTATATTACAAGGACAATACCCCATAACCCCTTTACACGCCAAGATTAAACGTCATTTTGCATTGCTTTTGCCATCTGATTGTATGTTACTGGCGGCATGTCCGTAAACCCTGTATGTTTTCTAGAGAACCCTCATATAGCCCTATACAACTTATAACCCTACAGGAGCTAACTAGGCAAGAATTTCTCGACTCCAGAGCAAACGCTGTTAAAAGGTGATTACCTTTCATCCTAAAAGTATGTGGAATAATGGCATTCTGGGCAGTTGTTAAGGAGTTTGGGGCATTCTTTGAGCAATTTTTGGGGGTGTAGGGAGGAGTGCCCTGAGAGTTGTTCTAGCCTTAGGGTTTAGGATTTAGTGTTTAAACCTTCAACTTCAAACCCTAAACCCCTACTACCCGCCCCGCAACAAACTGCGAAAGCTATTTTTTGCAAGGGTTCCGGGGCAGATTGAGAGGAGGTAGCTTTCCGCCATCTTGACTGCGCCAGCATGGACCCTAGGTACGCCCGCAACCCTGAGCTTTAAACACGAAACCCCGAACCTAGACCCTATAGTAGTACTTGAGCCCTGCAGTCGCAGACCGAATTTCATAAACCTAGGCGGTAAACCCTAAAACATATCTAACCGTTATATAAAACAATAACCCCATAGAAAATTATGCTACGCCATATAAAGCCCCGACCAAAAACAAAACCCTTATCTCTAAGACTTGAAACGCTAAAGCCTAAATTCTCAACCGTACACTCTCAACCCCAAACCCTCAACCCTTATTACCTAAAAACCTTATATAGTTTGGTCTTTGGGCCCAAATTCCTTTAAATATGATTCCTTAGATGCTTCGGGTTAACTCTCAACCCTGAACCCCGAACCCGAACCAGGCTGACGCTAGGGGTCTGGAGTCCGAGCCTGTGGCTTGACAAGCTGTGCATCTGTCAGAAGCTTGGGTTGAGAGTTTAGGGTTTAGGGGTGTAGGGTTTAGGGTTTCGTGTTAAGGGTTGAAAGGTTGAAAGTTTAGGATAAAGGGTTGGAAGTTTAGGGTTTTAGGGTTTAGGATATAGGGTTGCGAGCTTACGGTTTAGGGTCCGGGGTTTCGTGTTGAGGGTTGAGAGTTTAGGACCAAGGTTTGAAAGTTCAGGGGCGCAGGGTCCAGTGCTTAGGGTTGCGAGTTTGGAGTTTAGTGTTGAAAGTTCAGGGCTTGAGGGTATGTATGAGTGTAGGCTGAGCGTGCTGTCGGCGCGCTTGCATAATAGAATCTATTCCAGCGCTCGCGTGGCTAGAGGTCCCACTCCAACCACCCTGACTATCCTCAATTAGGATTTAGGGTTCCTACCTCACGGACCACCCTAGCAAAGGGAGCTTTCTTGTTTTTGTTTCTGCCCAGTTCTGCAGTTCATTCCTTCTCACACCGCCGCAACCAGCATTTTAAGCTGGTGTGCGGTGAGCTGGGGTTCTAGCTTCTGCTTTTATTCAAACAGCAGCTGAGCAACAGATAGAGGTATGAGAGGCTTTGAACGGCATCTGCACAAGACTCTTGCCAAAGGCTCCGAGACGCACCCAGAGGTATCATGATGATGAGTGATGATGTCAGGATTATGCGAAGGCGGTTTGGACAATAGGGTTTAGGGTTTAGGGTTTAGGGTTGAGGCCCCTAACAGGTCCAAGGAGCCCATGAAAGGCCCAGGGAAGTGATCTTTTAGCCGCTGCTTCCTATGGTCCAAGAATCCAACCGCGGCCGAGAGCCCGGACTGGTCCCAAGAGCCCTTGAGAAAGCGTGGCACCCCTCAATGGCTGACATCTTTGGGTTGAGGAAGTGCATTTCCTTTGGCTCCTGAAGGAAACCTTCCCAGGCTAATAGATTCGTTCTGACGCTCGGGCAGGGCCTCGGTCATGAGGCTTGACCACCAATGTATATATGGTCAGCGGCGCCCTCGCCAGTTTAGGGAACTGCCCTAAGCCTCAAACATTAAGGCCTAAACCGCGCGGCTGGGCTAGGGTTCCTGGAAGGAGAAGCCCAAGCTTAGCCACGCGCTTTAGCGTTCAAGTGCGATACCATATCCCTGGTCTAACCCCATTGTAAGCCTTTCTACGTAGGTTACCTCACCTTGCCTCAAGTATATGACGTCTGATTTTCCCAGTGCCTTAAATCCAAAACCTGAAGCCCTAAACAAGACCTTAAGCCCTTAATCCTAAAACGAAGCAGCCATAGGAGCGACGAAGACGGCAAAGCAGAAGCCATCTCAGCATTGCCAGAGCCTTGCCAGTTTAAGTTTTGAGTTTGCGGTTCATGTCTTACGGCAGTTTAGGGTCTCGAGCCTATCGCGGAAATTCTTTACATACGCCTAGCCAAATACCTCTAAAGAAGCTCAGGTGTCATGCAGTTTGGATGCTATAGGTGTTGGAGGTTCTTTGGGAACCTTCAAAAGCGTATGGGGCTACCCAAAACACCTTCAGAGGGGTATGAGGCTATGGTATGGTAAAGCGATTTTAGAGTTTTATCTTGGAGGAACCAGAGTTTTCCTTCGCACTATTCGATTGTACCCTAGGGGCAAGTCGGACGAGCTTCGGCTTTGAAGCGCGAAGCTCAGAAGCCACTGGCTTCGCTAGCTCCGAAGCCACCAGGTTCACCAGCTTCGGAGCACTTGGCGCAGCCATTTGCTTCAAAATCCTGAAGCAAATTCGAGGCTCCGAAGCCACCAGCTCCACTAGTTTTGTGATTGCGGCGAAAAATTCCAAGCGAAGCTCCAAGCTGCAGCTTCAGCAGCTTCGGAGTTTTGGGCGAAGCCACGTGCTTCAAAATTCCGAGCAAAGCTCCGAAGCCACTAGCTTCACAGCTTCAGAGCTTGTGGCGGTTTCGATTGCTTCAAAATTTCGGGCGAAGCTCCAAAGGCACCGCTCCACTAGCTGCGGAGCTTCGGGCGAAGCCACTAGCTCCTTCAGTAGCTTTCGCGTTTTGGGCGAAGCCACTTGCTTCAAAATTCCGGGCGAAGCTCCGCAGCCACTAGCTTCACTAGTTTCAGAGTTTCGGACGAAGGTTTTAGCTTCAGGGCATCACTAACTTCAAGGCTTGAGGCAAAGCCCATGGCGTCAAAATTCAGTGCGAAGCTTCGAAGCCATTAGCTTAAGAGCTTCAAAAGCCTCATTCGTTTCCCGAATCACATCAGACTGTCACTCCATTATTCAGTCGTCAAGAATTTCGAGAGCAATTTTCAAACATGTGCTTTGGGCTTGGGATTTGGGGTCTGGAATTCAAAGAGGCCCTTGTGGCAGGAAGGTTCATGGGTACTTCTTACCCACCTGTATCTGCACGCGGTTCCTTATGAGGTCCTTCAACCCTAAATTTGAGCCCTACACCCCATAAAGCCAATAATCCTGAAATGACTTTGAACACCTTAAACCCAAAGATGTTAGATATGTACCCTTAATCAAGACCCCCAACTATCCTGAAAAAGGGCCTGTGTTGGTCCTATTTGGGCTCTGGGGAGGGTACCCGAGGGTTTAGGAAGGTTTGTAATCTTGGGTGTGCAAATATCCTGCTTGAGGGCTTTATTCCGGGGCTTCCGGATCCAAACCCATTCAATACAAAGGACAACCGTAAACCTTAAACCCTGAACTTGAGAAACCTCCAGGAGTTCGTTAGGCGCTCGTCTCGCATGCTGATACTTTGGGATGAGACCTATTTCGAGCGACTTTGGTACCTCGGTCCTTTAATTGCCCCCCTTCTGCTGGGTTTAGGGTTTAATTTGAAGCTTATGGTAGCCTCCTCAATGGATTTACCATGATTTACCTTTTTTCCCGTCAGGCTCCATGACTTTGGACATATGGGAAGATGTTGTCTGTCATTTCCATGATTTTCCAACTATGTCCAGCTCAGGCCCGAGATTCAAGGGCAATCATGGAAAGACTAGAACCGCTAGGTGTTCAGTGTTGATCACCATGCGCGGTATGATTCTTTAGCACCGTCAAAACCAACATCTTGCATGACTTCCATGGACTTTAGACAGGTGCAGCCCAGGCTCGAGTTTCCATGCAAATCATGGAGCTCATGGAAAGCATAGGTCAGCACAATGACTTCAAGGAAAACCATGTTATGCAAGCTTTTTAAACACATACTTTAAATTTGATCAGCCAATCAGCGTAGTCCGGCCCAGGCCTGAGATTTTGTGGAAAAGATGGCAGCCATGGAAAACACAGGAAATAGAAACATTGTTATTCAGAAAATTCATGATCCCCATGATTCTGCAGAGACTTGTCCGGACCAGGTTTGACATTGTTTGACAATCATTGTTTTTTGAAATGTGCTCGATGATTTTAATGGAACTCATTGGAAACCTGTTTTGTTTCATGGTTTGGCTTGTTCCACTGGTTTGAGAATGTTCCCAAAAGGTGTGATCGCAAGCTGTGAGTCTTCTATTTTAAGACGCAAATGCGATTACCTCTTCCATGGGAGCGAAGGGGCCCTGAAAAGATTGTGGCCCAATTGAATACTTTGCATTGCAGAAATGCTCAAATAGACGCAACTCAAAAATTTCCTGGCAGAAGATTTCAAAGCCCAGCTCCAGTACTTGAAACGTCCAAATTCCCGGCATATAACATGATTTGCGGAACCTGTGGTGCCAGTTCTGTTTTAAGTCTTCATAGTATCTAGTATTATTTCAGCTTGATTGAAATGCATGTCAAACAGCAACGGGCTACCCACCCCTCAAGCAAGGATATCCCCCCTGTTCAAGTCAATGTTGCTAATGCATGTAAATGATGAAGGGATAGAGTTGGTCAATGGTCTCAACAGGATTTTGCAGGATCTAAACCATAGAAACTCCTTAGCATACATTACGCATTATACTTAGTTTCAGGACCAAGGGCCGATTGATTCATTTAGACCAAACATTAGGAGGACCCCCCACCCTGTAATCGTGGTATAATAAGAATATAAGAGGACCCTAATATAATCCCTATTATCCCTATTAGTCACTATTACTGGGTGGGGGGTCCACCTAAACCAGACATGTTGTCCCTCAAACCAGGAGGTGCTTTGTAATTTATCCAATTGGACGACTGTTGTGGCGTCAGTGGGCCGGCAAAATCGAACAGCTTCCACGGCCTGGCGCAAATTCCTAAACTTTGCAAACCTCTAGCCCTAATGGTCCAAGAGCATCATATTGCACTACCCAAATCAGGTTCTGGACAGGTACAGGGTTTAGGGTTTTAGAGGTTTGGGTTTTAAGTCCAGTACAACCGCACTGAACCATCCATATGGATTGGTTAAATCGGGGTTGCTCCCAAGATCTTTGTGAAACATTTTTCCATCACTTAGTTGTATTTCAATGGGGGAGATTTTGGTCATAACGTTTTACTATTACTATATGAGCTATAGTCTAAACTCCGTAAAGGGGTTACATAGGGGATTTTAGATGGAGAGTTACAGGGTTTATGAAGGGGGATACACTCCGTTTAGACTGTAGCAACTGTAGCTAATATCCTCCTTGTAGTTGTAGTACTATCAAGCCTGAACCTTGAATTGTAAGAAGGAGTTTACTTTCACCTGGCTAAAGCACCGACAACGACAATGACGAATGCTGCTCAAATGTCACGCCGCCTTCAGGGCCTAGCAGTTTCCAGTGTTTGTTTGGGTACAAGTCTCCACGCTCCACAGGGCCATTTTTTGCGAATAGAACTGCCAGCAGACCTCGAACAGGGTCCTTTCAAACAGTGCCTTCAACATGGAGGTTCAATGTTTATCTGGGGGAGATTTCGTTCCTTCGTTTGCTTGGCAGGGTCTGGGCACCGTTTTTGGTTGACAGTTTGGCAAAGTACTCCCCTCACCGAATATCCCACCCACACAACGACAATTCCCCTCTATCTATATACATATGTGTATATATATACACATATATGCATAGATACGTGTACATATATATATATATATACATGGGTAGATATTGGAAATACTTATCCTCAGCGGCATGGGGGTTTCATTAGGGGCGACCAGGCAGGGAGGGCAGTTTGAGGTGCAACTTGGAGATTGCGATTTTTGTCAAGAGTCACAACTCGGAAGCGCTGAGTGTCCAGGAAGCCCAGTGGCACCCTTTTGCTCTTTTGGGGTTCTAGGTTCCTTGTTAAATCAACCTACAACAACAAGGGGGCACCCTAATTGCAATATGGTTGCTGCCCTAGCCCTACCCCCGAAACTCTAAACCCCTCAACCCTAAACCCTAAACCCTACCAAGGTGTTCTTCCCTTATGGCTGGCGCCTTGGGTCATGTACTCCATGCTGCTGCAGTGGTTTCTCTGTCGTGTCGTATTACCTCCACTTTCATTGTGGCTGGCAGAGTCGGGAGCCTGGTTCCTCATACCGCCCATTTCGCCCATGAAAATGATGTTGCAAAATGCAACCTTTGGTATAGTTTTCAGCGTTGGATTTACACCCGTGGTTTTGCTGTCGCTCTTAGCATTTGGGTATAAGCTGAGAATCCACAAGTCCATGCTGAAACAGCTTTCTGAATTTGACGTGCGCTACACTACAAAGTGCACTGTGGACAGCGACCGCCCAATGTTGGAAGACCTGCTTGCAAGACTCTTCGACGAAATCGATGAGTTGCTGGGTGCTTGCCAAGGATCTTAAAGTAAGTTACCATTTTAATGAGAGAGCTGTATCCATTACTCTTGGAGGGTCCACATACTGATAATTAGACTAGATGCGTTTCTACATTGCGCAAGCCATCTTTGGAAACTTCATTTATGGTAAGTGCCCAGAGCCTCCTATGTAATGGCCCCTTGCCAAAAAAACATAACAAACCCAAAAAGGAACTACATTGGAGCCCTTGGGTAGCCCAACTCCCTTAACAGCGATTCAGGTTGCCGGTGTCTGTCGGCATCGAGGTGCCTGCATCCGAGGTTACCCTTCTCGTGGAGCAAGCCCACTCGGCACAACAAGATGCACTGTCAGAAGCTTTGAGAACAGGCTCTGTGAGGAGGACGTGCTTCCTCAAAAGAAAGTCTTTGATTCTTCTGGTATATTTGTGTGTTAGTGAAGATTTGGGCTTTTTCTTGGCCTGGTTTTTGAAGAAGCGACAGGATTACAAGCTATCCTAGCCACAATGAAGCTCTGGCGTTGTTCAGCTCAATGATTCGCGAGCAAGTCTACCACATTGTGACCCAAGATTCTGGAGATTCAGCTCGAATTCCTGCACGTCTTTGCGGCCTCGTATTCCTGGCAATGTGGTACTTCCAAGTGGCCAATACCTTTCTTGCCTGCGATAATCTTGATTGTGAGCAGCTTCGCTATTCTTGGGTGATGCTCGTGTTTTGCTCTATTGGGTATTTAAGCGGATCACACACATGACACCCAAAGGGTCTAGCTACCTGTATGGTATATACTTGGGCGCAGAAGGGGTTCCTATGCGAAGGGCCTAAGTACATAACAGTCCTGGACCCTTCGGAAAGTCTCTTGCTTCCTTCTGGGGCGAGGCTTAGTACTGGATCAAAATGCCCTGTTGGCGATTATGGCAAACATGTTCCCTGAAAACATTTAGATGAACCTCCCCGTATCAGGAAAACCCAACGCCATGAAACATAATGTGGAACCCTGAGTAATAAACCCTCTCCTTTTAAGGGCCGAAATATTAGGATCCCGATTATAGCGCCTGTTAAAGGGAGGGGGCTTATTAATCCTAAACCCTAAACCCTAAACCTAAACCCCAAACCCTAAACCCTAGGGTGGGCCTGGGTTATCAGGCAAGATGCTGAGCTTCAAGGATACACCTCGGTACAGCAGATGTTCTGGACACCGGAGTAAATCAGAAGACGTTTTACTTCCTTTTTAAGGGTTTAGGGTTTGGGGCTTCGGGTTTAAGGTTTAGTGTTATGATCCTGGGAGACCACGAAGAATTCATTTCCCTGAGCCCTACACCCCAAACCTCGTCCCCCAAACCTACCCTAGGACCGATGTCGTCATCTATGGTCAGTACCCCGTTGGGATCCAATGCCTTCTTGGCTTCCTTGCCAAGGCGAGCAAGGTTCTACGGACTTTTGGAGGGACCCCTTATAGGGATGCTTGTAGCTTATGGGGTTAATATGGGGACTACCTAGGGATATAAGGGGTTTCAACCCTAAACCCTAAACCCTGAACCCTAAACCCGGATGGCTATGTAGGCTGCCAAAGTAGGGCTCAGGGCTACCAACCTATAGTCCCCCTTAAGTAGATAGAATATGGCTTTGGGTATATTCTAATAAGATCCCCATATACCCCATATTCTATCTACTTAAAGGGGACTATATCATCAAAATCCTCGACCATAGTGGTTTAGGGTTTAGGGCGTAGGGTTTAGGGTTCAGGGCTCCCACCCACTGACAGTCTATACTAGGGGTAATATCAGGGGCTAAATCTACACATATTCTACGTAGTATCCAACTGGTAGTTGTTCACAATACCTGCCCAAAAATGTACCTGTCCCCAAAATCACCATAATGTAGGCTTCCTGCTTGGTTAAGATCCCTTTCAAGGAAGTGTATACCCAATGGTCTTTCCCTTGCAAGGACCTTTAGAACAACCCGCAGCTGTTACTGAGTGGGGGTAGAAATCAACTTATTGGCATATAGTCCCCCTTAAGTAGAAAAATATGGCTTTGGGTTTAGTAGAATAAGATCCCCATATACCCCATGTTCTATCTACTTCAGGGGGACTCTAATCTCGGGGGCTTGGGTTAGAACCGTAGATTTGGCCTCTAGGTTGCCACAGCTTCTTCTGAACCCAGAACCCCAAACCCAACCCTAGACCTTAAACCCCTGAAGCCTTAATCCTGAACATTTTTAGTGGAATCTTCCTACGCTACGATATGGGATCCGTCTTATCTTAGGCAAGATGTTGCCTAAGAGCAACCCACAACCCTAAACCTTAAGCGGTGGTTCTGCTTCACCAGCAAAGGGTTGCCCGTATCTAAGGTTGGAATACTGGGCCCTGACTTTGATATGAGTAGTATTTTATTTGGGGTTTCATTTGGGGATACTATGGTATGCATTGTAGGGTTTAGGGCCCCATAATGGAGAATCAAGTGGAAAAGAAAATGGAAAATGAAATGGAAACTCGGGTTATGTAGGGGCTATTTTGGGGATATAGTATTTTATTTGGGGATACCATGCTGGTCAGAGGACATACCGGTATGCTCATCCTGTGCTACTTTACTCAACTTTGTCCAATCTCCAGATAAAATTCACCGGCCTTGTCACATGGCTCAACTCCTGCCCAGACGCGTACTGCTTGAAAAGCTAAATTCTTGTCAAAAGATCCTTGCTGATCTCTCTGCTATTATCGCCCGCCTGTAATTAGTATAAATTACTCACTATGGGAGGAGCCAAAGTGCTCAGCGCATGAAGCTCATGACTGACTGACATGCTACCCAATAGAGAGTAAGATTATATCCTCCTTTTGGGGGTATAGTACCTTATAATATGAAATATAATCTTACTGGGTTTAACCACAAAAAAAATCACTACTCATATGAACTTTCCAGGTACATATAGGGCAAATAGTAGGAATGCGAGGATCTCAGGTTTAAGATCCCATACTGGGGGCAGAGGTTTCGACCTCAGATCCCAGGGGGCGAATCAGGCTACGCGCAGGCACACACTGTCGGCAGAAGTGATTGCTGGCCAACATGTTGATTCCAGCTTCCTTCCGCATTTATGGTGTAGGGTACCTCAAGAAGACCTCAACATGATATTGATATCTGTCAAGCCCCTTTAGTGCTGGACCTAAAGTCCCAACATTGCACCGACTAAGTCACGTTTAAGAAAAGAAGCACAAGAAGAAAAGGAGGAAGAGCAAAGGAGAACAGAACGGAACAAGAAGAATGGAGGAAGAGGACAAGAGCGAAGAAACATCCCTGAGCCCTAAAACGTGTGGCGCAGCCCCCTCTCGAGGTGATGCACGTGGCAGCAAGCCTCACCGAAGACCTTCTCCTGCAGGGTTTAATAGCTTCCGTGCTGGGCATCCTGTACCTTGCCTTGCACGGTTTGGGGGTTAGGGTTTGGGGTTTGGGATTCAGGAAGTAGCGTTTAAGATATAGACCCTAAACCCTATGTTATCACTATTACTACTACTATTACTATGATTACTACTATTTCAATTATTACGATTTACTATTGTTAGTACAGTTATTGTTCTTGTTATTACTACTATTACTATTATAATACCATCACTGTTAGTATCAGTATTATTACTATTATTACTGTCATTACTAGTATTCCTATTATTACTTATTTTTAGGGGTTAGTGTTTAAGGGTTAGTCCCCTTCCGCCAACATCACCGCTAGCTGCAGCTGCCAGGCCCTCCAACCAGCTTCAGCCTAAACTTTGAATGCTAAAGCTGATGCAGAATATTGCTTAAGTTTTAGGGTTTAGTGTGTGGGTGTTGAACCCTAAACCCTAAACCCAAAAGGCTACATTTTCGGCTTTTTGAGTTCCGGGCAGTCATTCTGAGCTGCCTCCCTGGCCGACCGTTGCGACAGTATTCCAGGCTGACCCCTAAACCGCAAGCCCAGTATATCAGAAGACCCTAATTATAGGGTATTATGGGTTTAGGGTTTAGGGACTAGGGATTATAGTTGTGTAGAAAATATAAGAGTTGATGAACAATGGAGCTATGGCATATAGTAACTATGAGCTATGTTTAGGATGTAGTAACGATCAGTCTGTCATCAGCAGGGAGGTTGAAAAGGCGTCCAGGTACTGCTGGCGCGACCTGCGGGAACCCTTAATGGGTACATATGGATTAGGGTGGAGAGCCCTCCCATTTTATACCCCTCCCCGCATGCTTCAAAAGTGTCAACAGTCACAAGGATCCTTACAGCAGCCCCTATATAGCTTATTTCAGTGGTTTCCATTTTCCTGTCCATTATCCTTATCTATCCCCAATTAATCCCTATGAATCCCTAAACTCTAAACTCTAAACCCTAGACCCTAAACCCCTGTAGGAACCCTCGGGCCCGCCATCCTCGCAGCTTTCGACGTTGTTGATGCTTTAAAACCGCCATGCTCATAAATGGTGTTACTTTCGCCTCTCA